CCAACGGTCTAGGTTGACGGGGTAAAGGGTAGCCATTCACCTATTGTAATCCAGCAACTGAGGGCTGCACTCAGTTTGCCCATCCCGTCTCTGGATAGCTTCAGCAATATGAAGAACAAAGCTAGTTGCTGTGCTGCAGCTGTTCACGGCAACACATTTGCATTTTGAGCAAGTTTTTAAAAAAAACAACCCAGAGCAAACGCTGATTATACTATAACTGAAGCAGGGATACAATCAGATGTCGTTGAGCCAGAATACACCATATGAAAATGTCCTGGAAACAGTTTCAAGAGTACTTGGTCTGTGAATCTGGATTTGCCTCTGCTTTAACCCCAAGCAATACAACAGATGCAGAAACTCAGCCAAAAGCTTTCTTGTTTAAATGGGCTTTAAAGCTGGGGCCAAATAGAAATGGATGGTTTTTAAATCTAATCAGTCTAACCTTATGTGCTCTTTTTAAAAATCCTATGATGTTTTATCAGGGGTTTAAAGCACAGGGTTCTATCCAGTACTATATGTTCCCTTTGAATCCAGTGCTTGCTTTCACAGACAGTTTTCATTGATTTCCTGTTTCTCCACATGTACCCCCCACCATCATCCCAATCTGCTTCAGAGAAACAGTGCAAGAGATAGTATTGAGTTTGTAGGGGAACGGGGAGAATTAGAATCATAAAATAATTGAGTTGGAAGGAGCCTATAAGGCTATCAAGTCCGTCCCCCTGCTCAGTGCAGGAATTCAGATCTAAGCTTTTAGTAATCCAATTTGCACATGTCCAGTAGATCAAAGAGCCTGCCTACATCCCAATGTTCTCCATCCTGGACTAACTGAGATGATAAACTAAAATTATTAGTATATGTCCTTGAAAAGCAGCACCAAAGTATTTGAACAAATCTTACACACTCATCAAAAAAAAATTTACTGAGTGATTAGCAGATGTTACCCTTAAATCAGTTCTCTTTCCAGCCATGTATAATGTGGTAGGGTGCTTTATATATGAAACTGTTTCTAGGGTTCTTTTTCCTCTCTCTGAAGTGTTTAAAATTCAACCAGACAGTAGCAATTTTCTTTTAATCTAAGCAAACTGATGTGTCAAAGGCAATCAGTACATTGAAGCTATCCCCAGAGAATCCTAATAATCCTGATGAATAGCTGTGCTCTCCAGAAAACTCAGCCACTGAACTCTTGGCATCAACAGTCACAAGTACTTAAAGAGGAGATGGGCAGAGCAGTGAGGTCTTATACCCACAACCTGTAGAGGCAACCATGCTTCAATTAAAATACCACAGAATGTTGCCAGAGTTCTGTGCCCTGTAGATTTCAGATGGGAATTCTGGGAGTTCTGGCAGGAAGCAGTATTTGGTTGGCAGGAGATATAGAGGCCTAGAATTCCATTTTCAGTTTTAAAACCAGATTAAGTGAGTCACACAGACCACAAAAAGGAGCCATCTGGTGCCCACACTGATGTGCTGTATCTATGTCCAGATTAATACCCAAAGACATGAGTATGTATCACAAAACTGCCACCAGGGTGCCAACTGAAGCCTTACAGCATTTTTGTTCTTCCCCAGGTCTCCAGGTGAGGAAGCAAAACCTGAGTGTGCACTTTTGAAAAAGACAGTTGGATGATTGTGCTGCTATGTCCAAGCTCTCCCCACAATACCTTTTCCATGAATTGCACTGGTTTTAAATCTTCACAGCAATGGAAGGAACCACACTGTAGTTGCTTCTGTGCTCCACAGATAATAGACAGAATCCAGTGGTGGACATCGGCTGGATCTCACCGCTTCTGCCAGAATCATCCTCTGAAAGGCCCTCCCCCTCCCTCCTGCCATGGGGGGGTGGCCTGCCCCCAGCACCACTTTCAGATGTCCCCCGCCAGTACTCCCATGGTGCTGGGAAGACTGGTGGGAGACATTTGAAAGCAGCACTGAGTGTGTGAGGGGGCGGGTCTGGCCCCCACCACCACCCCCTCCCCCCACAGCAAAGTGCCGCTTTCAGAAGCCTCCTGGGGCTTGCTCAGCAGGTAAAAAGACATTCATCTTGTGAAACAGGGCCATAGGAACATTTGTCTTGCGAGGCACAAAAAACCCTAGCCAGACCCATTCGTCTAGCGGGTTTTTCGTGCCACAAGGCGTTCGTCTTGCGAGTTACCACTGTATACCAGTAGCTCTCGACCAGTACCATAAAAAGCCTATTTGGTTTCTTTGCCCTGCATCACTGCTGCCAAGGCTACTGCCACAAGAAAGCTTGTGAGTTTTGACACTGGTGCTCCACTTGCTATTTTGCTCCAAACAACAGCCTAAGTGTGTGCATCCACTAGTTCTTTCCCAGAGTATACAAGAGGATCAGACATTGTGCTACCACACAGTACATATTCCCCAAAGCCCTGCACCGGTTTGATGAATGAATCTATCCACTGACTAGTCATCTTTCTGTTCTTCCTAGGTTATTCCAACTAGTCAAAAAATAGCTTCACAAAGAATTTTATCAGGCAACAGATTATTTTATCCAAGCCTTGATTCTTTCTATTCTGGCTGTTGAAGGTTTTTCCGTGTTTGGCTATGTTCTGGAGGTTTTTCTTCTTAACGTTTCACAAGTCTCTGTGGCTGGCATCTTCAGAGGATAGGAGTTAGAATGCTGTCTGTGTTCTGGTGTAGTGTGTGGGATAGCTAAGTATCTGTAGCTGTGGGATCAGCTTTTTGTCCCTTTCAGAAGATTAGGTGATTATGGTGATCAGGGTGTTTTCTGTTATGGGTGTATTGTTGTGATAAGGGGGAGATGATCTGTCACTGTGATTGATGGGTATTGTTAGCTAGTCTATTGTGTGTAGTAATCACCAGTCCTTGTGGCTAGGTAGAGTTCATTGACCTTTTTGCAGACTGTATTTTTCAGTGCTGGGAGCCAGGCTTTCTTGAGATATAGACTTTCTTCTTTTTTGTTGAAGCTACGCTGATGTTTGTGGATTTCACTGGCTTCTCTGTAGTCTAACATAATGATTGCTTGTCCAGTACTTTTATATGTTGAAACAGGATTTCATGTCCAGCTTGTTTCAAAGCATGTTCAGCTACTGCCAATTTTTCCGGTTGTTTTAATGTGCAATGTTTTTCATGTTCTTTGATTCTGGTGTGGATGCTGTATTTTGTGGTCCCAATATATACCTGGCCACAACTGCAAGGTATCCAGTATACTCCTGCAGGGGTGAGGGGGTCCCTTTCGTCCTTTGGTGACCATAACATTTGTTGTACTTTTATGGTGGGCCTGAATACTGTTTGTATGTTGTCTTTTTTCAAATTCCTATAGAAGCAGTAAGGTTGTACTTAGTTTTCCCACACATGGCTTCTCCATTTTGGTTTCGGTTTTGTAAAATAAATCATGACACGGTATTCATTAGAGGTTGTATTTACCATATTTTTCCGTGTATAAGATGATACTTTTCTCTAAAATATTTAGAATAAAAAATTTTGGTCATCTTATACACAGAAGTAACAGGGAGGATGGATCAAAGCGCTTTGATACCTGCTTTCCCCCCTCCACTTTCTTCACAAGAAAATGGAGGGGGAAAGCAGGAATCATCAAAGCACTTTGATTCCTGCTTTCCCCCTCCACTTTCGCAAAAAAGTGGAGAGGGCAAGCACTTTCCTCACAAAAAAGTGCTTTCTTGCGAGGAAACTGCTTTCCCCCTCCACTTTCTTCTGAATAAAGTAGAGGGAGGAAGCACTTCCTTTGCAAGAAAGTGGGGGGGGGGAGCAGGAATAAAAGTGCTTTGATCCCTGTCTTCCTCCTCCACTTTCTTGCAAAAAAAGAAATTCTGGGTTAGAAAAGTGGGGGAGTGCATCTTATACGTGGGGGCGTATTACACACGCAAAAATACATTACCTAGTTTTCAGACCTGCTAAGGACCAGATGATTTTTATTATGTCCTGGTATATTAAAACCATAGAATTCAAAGATTTCTTTTTCACATGACTGTATGTGATGGATTGTTTCTCAGTCTGACCCTAAGCTTTTCAGAAGAAACTTATTTGGGCTAAAACACTTCCTTGTAAGTATATTTTACTATAAAGTGAAAGGGGAAATGTCCAACAGCACTCACATCCTGGCCTTAACACATTCTCCACAGCACCAATGAAAACCACTATGCCTGCCCCGGTTCAAAAAGCAAATGTGTCTCCTCACATACTGCTAGAAGGAGCACTGAAAAAGGAATGACAAACACAGCTTATCAGTAGCATGTTAAAATAAAGTATTTGACTTTAATGTAAAGTTTCCATACAGCTTAGCATGAGAAAGTGCATTCCATAAACAAAAGGATTTATTCCTTTAAAAATAAACAAGTCTAGAAGGAATGTTGAATGACAAATACTTCAGAGATGTTCAACTATGATATACATTTGAAATGTATTATGAGGAATTTCCCTCCCCATCAGAAGTTTACTTCTTTACCAATAAAGGAATAACCTTAAAAAAATGTTCGGATAGATATTAAAATACTACAAACCTAAAAAAATTCTTGCAATTTTTTTTCTTTTAAGAGAAGCAAGAAAAAATACATAATATTTTGTATTTTGCATACTTCCCCCCCCCCCGTTTGTACAATGTTTTCCGAAGGATAAATAAATAAATAAATGGCACTTTTTTGCATGCAAGAAGACACATGGTCAAAGGCAGCAGCTGCACCTTTGCATCAATTACCAGTGCTTGCTCTTCCTTCCTACCACTTCAGTGGAAGAGATACTTCTTCCATCTACCCAGTGGATTTCAAACTGTTGTTTAACCATGGCCATAGGCAAGGCCAAGGAATGTATAGACCCCAGTGGAGCAAACCAGTGATTCAATGGCAGTACTGAAAATTTCTGGTGGCCATGCCTAAAAAATCCTGATTTGACACATGGTACAGAGTACTGAACTGCAATCTCTGCTTGGAAAGGCAAACACAAAGACGTACAGCTGTTGAAATAACAGCAGAATTACACTGGGAGAGAGAGAAACAAAAATCTGATTTAGAGATGGAAGTGGGACACATGCCGGGTTTAATACAGAACCATCATTTAAAAACTGAAGGTACAATGCGTCTTGAATTTATACCATGAAACAGTGTCTTAGACATAGGATGACATAGAGAAAGAAGAAACACTGAATCCTTTCCATCTTGTGAAAGCTGACCACGCCTGCGGAATGCAAATCAAGACTATTTTCTAATCATCACCTCCGTCTATTGACAGGCTGCTAAATTACTTCTGCCACTCTGAATTGGAATTTCAGCAACCAGAGATGTTGTCCAACTTCATTATGCCATTGTATAACCATAGCTTCCGCAATGTAATGCCACAAGAAGCCTGTCCTTCAGAATTTCTTTCTTTGGATACTCTGGAAGCTTCAGCATGTTGATACTGAAACGTGAGGGGGAAAAAAGTCCCAATTTAAGATATGACTAGCTTTTTTTTAAAAAAAACTGTTTTACTTGTACTTTCAAAATTGCACTTAGTTCCCAAATCTGCATTCAGATCCCTGGAAAACGAAGTATACTAGAAGAAAACACGCTGCTGCATTGCAGCTCCTTTTACTATTCAGAGAAATATATTCCTTCCAGCTGAAAATAAAAAGCAATATAGCAATTTAAGATGAAGTGTCCTTTAGTGATGCTACATTGCTGCACATTAAAACTAGACTGCAGTACTTCGATTTTTTTTTTCAATGTCATCACTATGGAAGAAATAATTGAACTACATATAGTTTGTGACTGAAGGCCAGTTCTGTACTGGCTAATGATATTGACCAGAGGCATTTCATGATGAGATTATGCAAGAGTGTGCCTCTGTTCTTTGAAGAGCTCCTACCCTCTCTCACAAAGAAAAAAAACAATGTAAAGTTCTGTTCTTAAATGAAGCTGTTTCACTTACCATGTACTTGATGTGGGCAAGAGGTTTGGTGTATATGGCACAGCTGCAATGGTAAAATTTTGCAGCCCACTACCCCCCATTATATGGGCAAAGCCACCATGGGGTACCCTGGAACTGAAAAAAAATTAGAAATAAGACATAAATAAGAGGGGATACATGTGGTTTTAAGACAGTTATTAGCATGCACATTTAGACTTCCACCTAATGTTTAAAAGGAATTTCATCAATGTGTACCAATCTCTTTTATTAAAAAATCCTGCTGAGCCAGATCCTCTGCACTCAGACAAAAATCAAGCAGAGATTTTCAAATGGAATGTGCAAATAACTATAAAAGAATGCAATACCAATTGCCATTCAGCAAGCATTTATGCTTTCATTTTTACCTGTAATACTCAATTGTGTCAGCCTTTCTTTCCTATCTTAGATTCTGTAATCATTAATCTAGTTACACAGGAAAAGCTAGCCTTGCCCCTTCTTTCATTGCTTTGCTCAAATGACCACCAATGAACCATAAAGAGAGAAGTTTTGGCTTGGATGTAGGCTTTACGTGTGAGAAAAATCTTGGAAACATGAACATGTGCATAGCCTTTGTGTGACTAGAAACCTTTTCCAGATACATCACTGTTCATATAAGCAAAGCGACAAGTCAGGAGCGAAGCTAGCTTTTCCTCTCTAACCAACCTGGATTTTAGATTACAGAAAAAAGGAGTAATACTTTTCTTAAAAAAAAAAAAAAGAGAGTCTTGAATTTTGGACTCAAAACATACTTGAGTTGCCAAAACATACTTGAGTCACCAAATTAATCTGGACAAGTTTATCCTTGGCCCCTATTTATAGCTCATGATACGACACCATGACCAGACCAAAGTCAAGACTGAATGGAGGTTTGAAACCAGTTCTCTTGAGTCCTACGCTTGCTGCTACTCTGCAATGGCCTAATAATACCTTAACACTGAGAATTGTGATGAAAAATGAATGGCAATAGGTATTTAAGTTATTTTCAAACTGACTGGATAGCTCAGCGGATTGGATACCGGACTGCAGAGTCAGGGGTCAGAAGTTCAATTCTTCACCGTGTCTGCTGGGAGAAGAGCCAGCCTGTGTAGCCTTGGGCAAGCTGCAGAGGAAGGAGCTATAAACCACCAGAAAGAGGCAATGGTAGACTACTTCCAAGGACTTTAGGGCTAGGAAACCCAGTGGCATCAGAATCAACTTCATGGCATATAATTATTACTGTAAATTACTTTCAACCTAAAGAAGTGCTTCAATCCTCCTCACCATCTTCATCAAAATTTATTTTTCTGGAAGATTCACAATATGTCATATGGGGTTTTCTCAAAGGCAGCAAGTTAATGAATAGCATTCAGTTTAATGAATTAGATTATGGGGCAGAAGGGAGCAATATAGGGCCTCCAGCCTTCCTATTCCATTTTCTTGTCTAAGAACCAAACTGCTGAATGGAGCTTGTTTCCTTCTACAGTGTCTGGATGAAAGCAACCAGAGTTGCAGGCAAGAAAGGCAACCCCATCTCTAGTTTCCTCTTACCATCTCTACTATCTCTTTTTGACATCAGTGTTTGCTTCAAAAGATGAACATTGCTAACACTTTAGAAATTATTCCATGGTGTGTCTTCCCATCCCAACAGTTATCACTGTTACTAATGCTGGTAGTGGGGAAACACACAGTTGACAGTTCATTTCTCATGGCAAGATGCCCCAGCCAAGAAAAAGAAGAAAATCAAAATGCAACTAATATTGCTGGAAATCCTGTATGTTCGTCATCACGTGCAGGTCAGGCGTCCCCCATTTCCTCATTGCATAAAAGCTATTTAGTAGCCTACTAAGCTGTATACATATCAGAGAATCCTAGACTGGTAATTGCTATTAGGTGAAGATCTCCGTGGCAAAGCAACACATTCAGTTTTAGACATAGCTAACATACTCATTGCAGCATCTACTGAAACTATTAAAATGAATGAAACATATAGCTCTCTTCTGCAAAAGCGGAATGAGATCACACATGAAAATACCACACAGGAAAAGGTATAACTACCAAGCTATACTCAAGCCTACTAAGCTGTATACATATCAGAGAATCCTAGACTGGTAATTGCTATTAGGTGAAGATCTCCGTGGCAAAGCAACACATCCAGTTTTAGACATAGCTAACATTCTCATTGCAGCATCTACTGAAACTATTAAAATGAATGAAACATATAGCTCTCTTCTGCAAAAGTGGAATGAGATCACACATGAAAATACCACACAGGAAAAGGCATAACTACCAAGCTATACTCAATATAAATGCTTTCTACACAATATAAAGAGCACCAGATTCCAAGTTTATATTGAACTGCTAAAACCCTGCAACATCAGTATGTAACAACAACTTTGGAGTAAATATGAAACTCATTTTTAGTTCTGCTTGTTGAAATAATCTACCTTGCAAAGATAAATTTAGGAAATGCTACTCATGAAACATCAATACTCATTACTGGTTTTGTTTGGAAGACATATGCAGAAATGCATCATCACTTTCGTGTGAAAGGAGAATACCATTAAGAAAAGAAACTGCATTAGCTATCTTCCCATCCACGGTTAAGATGATCTATTAAGATTAGGAGTAGCAATAATTTCCCATTTGTCTTTTAAAATTGGTTTCAGGTAAATGGCCACACTACATTTTAATGTAATAACAAAGGTTTTTATTTATTAATTTATTTTAAACAAGTTGTATGCTAACTAAAAGTAATTTGTTTTCACCAAAACACAGCACTAATTTTTCACTGATATCCTTGCCTACTCCAGGACTTTAGTCTATGTCTATTTCTGTTCCAGGGGGTTCCACAACCCTCTATAATAGCTTTTAGGGAAAAACTGGGTATCCCCCACTTTAATAATAACAATATGTCATCAAATAATCACAAATTATTGTGAACTTTTCCAAGATTTTTCAAGTGTGAAGTAATCAGAAGTGGTTTACCATTCCCTTCTTCTGTGGGTGGCCTGCTTTGGGTTTCTGCCCAAGGCTGCACAGGGTGGCTCTTTCTCTCAGAAGGAACAATGGGTAATTGAACTCCCAATTTCTTACTCTGCAGCCAGGTGTTCAGATAATGAGCTATGCAGCTAGCTAGAGTAATAGTTTTTTACCAAAGATGACAAAACTTGCAGTATGTTTCAGATGCCTTCCCTACTTGGACAGCAAGGAGACAGATCCTTCCTCGTCAAAGTGGAAAGACAAGATAAATAACATTTTGCAAGTCTGGTCCCAGATAGATTTGTGCTTCCAAAGTACAGGAAGAGACAACAGTTTGAAAACCTGTGACCAGCCAGATAATCCTCTCTTTGTGTATGAGGGAGAGGAGGAGCATGGTGCATGTGTGTGCATGTCTGTGTGCATGTTTGCACACACACAAGGGGAGAAAAGCAGGTGTTGGATTTTGAGAGGTGGTAGCTCTGTCCCCTGAAACCTGAGGCTCTCAGACATTCTCCTGAAGGGAAATCTGTACTCACTCCTGATCTGCACAAACAAAAGCCCAATATAATCAAAGTGCCATCATTTATCTTCTGCTGATATATTTCAGAACATAAAAATGCACATAACGAATGTTTGAAAAATGAGTAATTTTCAAAAAAAAATTAAGCCACAATAACCAGGGAATTGACAGAAAATATACTCTGCAATATAAATATACAGCAAAATGAGTACAAAAGGAAGAGCATAAGATAGAGATACAAGACTTCTGAAAAATAATACCTATACCAGTTATTTGTTTTACTGGATCAATAGCATTAATTCGATGGTCTCTGGCTGAAAAATGAGTATTTGATTTTTCATTCCAAGTGGCACTAAACATTTACACAAGTTTAGAAGAAGCTTATGATCCGAATTCTGCACACTACAGAGACATGTATATGAGGAGCTAATATCAGCCTGTGAGAGAATATCAAATATGAATAAAATTAATACAGCCACAGTTAGTTAGTTAGTTAGGCATCCTTCAGTCTCGAAAGACTATGGTGTCGTGCTCTGTATGGAGGACTTGGAACAGCGTCTAGTGTGGCTGAAGAGGCCAATGCGAGAGTGGCAATCTCTTCCACACTGAAGACAAATCCAATCTGTCCCCTGTCCAGCTCCCTGGTTTTGCTGCTTTTGTGACTTCCTCTTTGCCTCGGCCTGCTGGACAAGGGTCTCTTCAAATTGGGAGAGGCCGTGAAGCACTGCCTGCCTCCAGGCTGAACGGTCAGATGTCAGGGTTTCCCATCTGTTGAGGTCTATTCCTAAGGCCTTCAGATCCCGCTTGCAGATATCCTTGTATCGCAGCTGTGGTCTCCCTCTGGGGCGATTTCCCTGCACTAATTCTCCATACAGGAGATCCTTTGGAATCCGACCATCAGCCATTCTCAC